TTCTGTTTCCGTCATCAAGGACAGCTTTTTTGGTATGCTTTCTTACAAAATGTTTGACCTTGGGAGATTGCTGCCAGAAAGGAAGACACTTCAAAAGCTGACAGCTGATTGTTGGAGGCTCGTAAACTCTGTTGTGTGGCTCAGTTGTGTGGGCTCAGTAGAAGTCCACAAAGGCTTAAAGACTCACTGTGGCTTAGTACCCTGTGAAGCTGGTGAACTGCAAGGTGCCAGGATGAGCTGCTGACAACAAAATGATTTTTGCTTTTTCTCTGGTTTTAACCTCAGCTGTGTGGAAACTGTGAGCTCTTCCTTGCTTCTTTAGGCTGGGAGACAATGCTGATACACAAAGTAGTTGCCATGAGTGGAATTAGAGTAGATTTAAAAGGGTCTGTTGCAAAATTTCCTCACAAATTAAGAAGAATTCAGGGGGCTGGAAAGAAGATGAAGAGCTGTGCAGGAAAGGATGGCTGCCCAGCAGGTAGGATGTTACCAGCCACAGCATCACCATGTTTCACTCCCGGTATTGTGGCTGTTTGCGAGGTAGACTGGTAGTTTTTCCATAGTGGTCTGGGAAGAAGGAATAAGGAATGCTTTTTTATTCAGCAAAAAAAATCTATGTGAATACGGAAATCACGTATTATGTTCCTGGCGGTATTTATTAATGACAAGCTAATGAAACAGCACTGCAGAGAGTACTGGTGTACAGCTTTAAAAGGGGAGGCACAAAAAGCATGAGCCAAGAGCATTGATTAACAGAGGCTGCAGCTTTGTTAAAATGCCTTTTCTAGCAGGGAGCCATCCTTACCTGCTTACCAGTTCTGGCTCAGCCTGGATTGGAGTAGATACTGAACAGCATAAGGATAAAACAGCAATGTTGCAGAGACGTGTGGCTGAGATTTGCTTCGAAGTCCCAGCTGGTGGCAGGGCTGAAACTGTCCCTCTGCATTGTACCAGCAGGCTGAGCAGTGAGATGAAGGAGGCCACGTGGAGATGTAGCCCCTCATGCTGTATTTCCATGGTCTGGGCTGGTGTCCAGGGCAGCCCACTGAATTACAGGGACCTTCGGATGAACCCTTTCTAAGCCACCAAGTGTTCTGAAAGCTGCCAAACTCTTAGCAACAGAGTTTAGACTCCTAAAAGCAAAATGAAGTTTGCAAAACCATCACAGATGCTTTTGGGAGCCAGACAGGAAAAGCCTGCTTCAGAAGCCCAAAGTAGCAATCCTCTGAGCCCACAAGAAGCCCAGTTCACTAGATGAGAATGGAAAGACAGAAATAGAAAGACAGAAGAAATTAACACACAACTACTTGTTTCCCTTCCAGTTGAGCTGACAGAATGGCTGAAGGTACACTGAATATCGCAGCCACAGTTTTATTATCTTCTCAGTTAGAAAAGATGTAGTTCCATTAAATAAAACTAAAAACACTCAGTGTCTAGGGAAATGAACATTTACTTCTCAGTTAATAACGTTAGCGAGAGATGCTGGAAATAGTGTTCTGAGAATTCTGCCATTCCTTTTGGCTTCCTTGCTGCTCTTCTTCCCATAGTTCCTCATTCTGGAATAGCTGTCATCACTGGGAAAAGTTTACTTATATGATCCATTTTCAGCATATAATGATAAATTTAATGTTCAAAGTTTTGATTCACATGCTGATTAAATAGAGTTTTGGCAGCTTAGTTAAATTCTGAGGTCATGGAGGAACACTTACCACTTGTAGCTCACTGTAAGAGAGTGTGAGTTCTTGGGATAGATCTCTTTGTTCACCACTAGCAGAAGAAAACAGAGCACTTGCTTACAATTTTTATCTTAAATATGAGACATACAAACCTGTTTTGATAAGGATCTGGCTGTTTTTTGTAACATCAGCTGATAATCGGTGGCATGCTGAATTTACCAAAGAAAGGGCATCCTTGGAGTTTTATCAGGGAAAGGCAGCTATGGAAGGGCATACCAGTTGTGATCCTGTTTGGAGAAATTCATGAAGGGGTTATAAAGGTTTTGAGATTTGTTTCACTACTGAACTAATAATATCAACTGCTTTACCATAGTGCACAGAGACTGTGTGGCCTGTCCTGGAGCTCTGGACAAGAAGAAAGTACCTAGGGAAGGATATATGGAGTGTAAGGAATGTACAAACAAAAGTAAATGTAGAAGAGTTGTTAAAAGATAGTGATTTGTATGATAGTCTGAAGTTACATGTTACTTTTTTTCTGAATTCCCAAAGGAGTAGGTGTAATTATTATAGTGAATCAAAGGCCTGTTCTTAGCACAGCTTAGAAAAATCTGGAAGTCGTGACTTGTGCTTTGTTTCAAAGACCATTAACTCTATCCAGAGAACAAATACTTGGTGTGGTGTCAGCTACAGGAGGGTTTGGGGTTCTTTACTCTTCTTGTGAGGGACCTAGTGCTGCTTGCTGCAAAGGCAAGTAAGGCTTTGCGGCAGATGCACCCCGTTTGGCAATAGCTTTTGAGATCTGTGTGGGTGCCTTGTGTTCAGTCCCTTGTGGCAGTGGGTCAACCTGATATCTGCCTCTGGCATCCAGGGAAAACCTGGAAATGAAGCAACGTAGGATTTCTTGCACAGTGGATTTATCTGCACTGTGGATAGAGCGGGTGATTCATGCAGCTTCTAGATGACACTCATGTGGCCATGTGCATGAGGGGATCCCTCATCTCTCGTGCACAAGCTGATGCCATTTATCCCTCTCCTCTCAAACATTTAAGATAGGAGATGCTGCCTTTGGCCTTATGAGGGTCCAGGTGTAGCCTTGTGTGGGTGTCCCTCTCCACTTTGCCTTTGCTGTGGTACCTGTCTGTTCAGTTCAGCAGAACCAGTCTGTCTGCCCAAGTGCATATAGATGAGACCTGTCAAGATTAGACAAATTAACTTCCTGTGCCATGTATGTTTATGGTTTTGTCTTTATGATGGCGTGGTGGGGATCTCATTATGGACAATAGCAAGGATAAGGTGTTTTAGAGGAAGTTAACCAGGAATCATCATTTGCCAGTTATGGGCAGGTTTGCCTTCTTGAGGAAGAGCTTTACATAACCTTGTCACTCATGGTTGGTTATATGCTTTGAAAAGTAACCAATTCTTCATTTTGGTTTATTTTTAGCAGAATTTCCCATTGTCTTTATGAAAAGGGATATTTTGTTTTTGTTACTTGTACTACAACAGAATAGCCTGCTGTCCAGGGTTCTGGTGAATCCATTATTTAGATGGTGGTCCCTTTATTTTAAGTTGGTTTGTGTATGAACAGAGGAAGAGAGCATTCTAGAGATGGTCTTGCTTTCATATGGGGGGAAATGTCAGATCCAAGAACCAATCTAAATCAGCTGAATAGATGAGATCGACTAGAACATCTCACCTTTCAGCATGCCAGGAATAATATCCAGTTAGGTCCTTATTACTGCAGTTTTGAATATAAGTGTTTGTATTTTTCAATAGATTTTCTTTGTCTGTTGAAGCTTGACTCTGACTCAAAACGAGGAGGACTTTCCTTGGAAATATTTAATGTAGTTGATTATAAAAATCCCAAAGGGAATTCATAGCTTAATTGATTGTTAATTTATTGACAGTAGATGCATTAAAATATTTCTAGCTTAAATATTTCTATCTTAAATATTTCTGAGCTAATATTTTTAGATACTTTGTAAATACTGTAATCTAGAGATCAGGTTAATGCATTTAGAGCTGCTTAGGTCTGTACAGGGAGTAATTGTTTTGGGTCAAGTGAGGTTTGAAGGAGCAGTGGTTTGTGTTGAGGTTGGGGTTTGGTACTACACTGTGTGAATGCCTGTCTGTAGAGAAGCTCTGCTGCAGTGCAGTGGAGTTCCTTAGCTAAGGAGCTGAGAGCTGTGCTTTGTCTTATGACCAGATTATCGATGGACATTTCCATCCTTACTCTGCCTGTTGAAAATTACTTGAAAAAACATCATTAAAGACTGGTTATTAATGATGTACTGTCAAAACTGAAAGATATATCAAATGAACTTCTTTAGGGACCTGTCTTTGGTCTAGCATTATTCAAAAATTCTATTAACCTCTTTGATGACAGAAATAAGGGAAAACTATAAAAATAGCAGACGGCACCACTCTAGAATAAATTTAGTCCAACCAGCTTTGAAAAAACTAATCTAAAGCATAAAATGATTTCATGAAGTCAGGAAAATTGTTCTCAATTAGTATGGAAATAATAATAATAACAATGGGGGAAGCTATCTAACGGGCTAGTTCAGAATAATAAATTGCTGTAACCATTGCTCACTCTGACGGGGCAGTCGTACAAATGTGTGGCTCTGTAATGACTTGTAAGTTCATTACCAATGACTATTCAGAGTGCAGAAGCCAAACATAGAACTGAAGCACTGAGGGTAGCATAAGGCACCTTCTGAAAAGTGTTGTGGACACAACTTTAAAGATCCCTGTAAAAAAGCAAATGGGTACTAAGACTTGTCCTTTTAAAGCAGACGTGACAGAAAGAAGCAGCCAGGTCTGCCTAGTCTAGAAGAATGTGGACAAGTGGGGTGGAATTACAGTCTTTGAGCATGCAGAAAGTTTTTTGAGAAATGGTGGTAACCATTTCTTCTTCATGTCTGAGTGATGATGACACAAGAGAGTGATGCTGTGGTTTAAAATTAGATGTTGGGAAAAAATGTTCTGTCAATATAAATAGTTTTTTACTGCGGAAGATACTAAAATTTTTGTCATTGGTGACTTTGCAAAGTGCAAAGAAGCAGGATGATTTTGTACTGTTAGTCCTGGCACTTTTTAAGAAATGGGAGTAGAACTTTTTTTAATATTCTGTTTTAACAGAACATGCCTGTGCTTTCTAACATGATTTGTACTTTACAATTATGAGCTGACCCAAGAAAAGAAAGCAAGTTCTGTGGCTTTCACAGTACACAAATTTTTTTTGTGTACTGTGCATTAGCAATTGGGTGTGCAAGTCATCTTTAGCCACACGTGTAACTATGTCCCTTTGTTCTTCCTCAACAGTCTCCAAACGTCCACAACTACCCAGATATGGATGCTGTACCCTTGTTACTAAACAATATGAAGGCCGACCCCACGGAGGATTCGTTATCTACAGACCATTTCCAAACACAGACTGAACCAGTGGACTTGTCAATAAACAAAGCCAGGTCATCCCCTATAGCAGCTTCATCTTCACCGGTTTCCATGACAGCATCAGCCTCCTCCCCTTCTTCTACTTCTACTTCTTCCTCTTCCAGTCGGCCAGCTTCATCCCCCACAGTAATAACATCAGTCTCCTCAGCAGCATCTGTACCGTCAGTATTAACTCCAGGTCCTCTTGTGGCCTCTGCATCTGGTGTTGGAGGCCAGCAGTTTTTGCACATTATCCATCCAGTACCACCTTCAAGTCCCATGAACTTGCAGTCCAACAAAATGAGTCACGTGCACCGTATCCCCGTGGTGGTACAGTCGGTACCTGTTGTCTATACAGCTGTGAGATCACCTGGGAATATGAACAACACTATAGTAGTACCACTGTTGGAGGATGGGAGAAGCCATGTCAAAGGTAAGGTGGAGCCAATTTTGTGCATCTGTGGCATCTCTGAAACTGGTCTTGTATGAGAAAAACATAACAACAGTTATAAACTTGTTAGTTTCCATACTTACTGTGTTCTTGCTGAAAAGACATATTTGACAATTGGGAGAAACCTTTAAAAGTCTTATCCCAGATGATCTTTAAAGTAAATAAGTTTTCAAATTAAGATTGGGTTTAGCAGTGGTGTTAGATGCTCAGACAATTTGTGGCAGGTTCTGAGAGAAGTAAGTTTTCCCCAGAAGCTGAAGAAGTAGTAGAATGGAAAAAATGTCAGTGCATGATATTTATGACAATATATAAAACATCACAGATGAACATGGAAAACTCACCAGGTGTTTCAGGTTTAGCAAGGGGAGGAATGTCAGAGGGATTGTTCCCCGGCAAACAGAAAACAATCATTAGGCTCTAGGAATGTGTGAAGGAAAGGCTTGTGGACCAAAGAGCATTAGCAGGTGCAGAGAAGTAGGTTTTAGTAAGCTTAAGGAGTGGCAGTGCAGTACTTGGAATTAGGTTTCTTCTTCCAGATTAAACAGCAGAAGGGAAGGAAGCCACCCAGAATGTTTATGTTGGGAATGAGTTTTGCAGACACAGGACCCAAGAGGCGCATGCAGGTGGGAAGGGAGGAAGAGGCACATGTCAGAAGGATGGATACACTCTTGAGGTGTCCAAAGAACACAGAAAGGGGAGCTGGAAAGCAGGAAAGACTGCGAACCCAACAGTTACTGAGGGAGCAAAAACTTGTTAGGGGTAGTGAGATGATGGGTGGAGAAAGGAAAGGAAAAACAGATGTGCCCAGAAACTTTGAAAGCACAGCTTTATAAAGGGGGCATTAGTGACAGAGATGGGAATATGAGGAAAGGAATGAGATACTCATTTCAAGGCTCATTGCACGTGAGTGAATAAAATACAGTAATTTTCCCCTGAAATGAGGTATTGCTTGAGACAGAAAAGGGAGGGTATTGACAGATAACCTTACCTTGGGGCTTATGAGACTGCAGGGCATTTAGTCTTATAACATCTCTTGTGTTCCTAATTGCATAGTGAGCAGGTCTCAAAAACTTGTTCCTTACCTCTCATGCCTGTCTTTCATAAACTGACAACTGTGTGTTATTGTACAGGACTACAGTGATGGGTCATTCAGATGTTTAGGGGTATCCTGTTGTCTATTAGTCTCTGACTCTCATACTGTTCCCTCACTACCCAAGTTGGGACTCTGCCCTCTCAGTCGGCTTGGACACAGGAAATGAACTCATTGTTGATCTGAGTCTAGTTTTAAGCCTCAAAATTATGGTTTAAGTTTTATTGCAGTTCATACAGTGATGTAATTTTAGCCCTTTGTGCCTTTCTGTCAAGAAATTAGGAATAAAACCTGAACTTTGTACCATGTAGTCTAGAAAAAAAAAAAAAGCCCAAACAAATAGAAAAAAGAAAGTTTTAGTCTGTATTTTGATTTTGGAGCTTCAAGGTGCACGCTATCCATGAGCCCATTGAGAAATTTTCCTGTTTGTTTTCTTTTCAAAGGTGCTAGTTGGCTGTGGTAGTAGTCCCCTCTATAGGAAGCACCTCCTGATCTTGTAAAACTGGAAATTCACTACCCCAGTTTCATCAACAAAATTCCAGATTTTAATGTGCTATAGGGATTTCAGCCCATGAACTCCATGCCTTCAGACCTGCCCTGACAATGTGGCCTTTGTGCTCTAATTGGCAGAGGTCATTAGCCATTAGCCCCTGCATCATCTATTGATGCACAGTTAAAGTAAAAGAAGGTATTAACAGTTCTTCAGTTTATTAATTTTTTCTCATGAGTTGTGCTCATTTTGTTGTCCTTAATTCTTTTGATTAAGAAGTTCAGGTTAATTTAAATAAATACAATAGAAGTAAATTGGGCAGCAATCCACTCTAGGTAGTAATCTTCTATCAGCTTTTGCTGGAGTGTTTATCATTCTTCAATGCAAAACAATATAAATAATTAAATGCAGTGATATTGCACAAATTAGCCAATTAAATAATTTTGTGTGCAGACTAAATTCTCTTCAATGATCAGCTCTTGTGCTGATAACAAGAAATAAATGTTACACAGATCCTAACAGGACATTGTTACCAAATTGAATTAGTTCCTAATCCTTTACTAGCTGATGGACAAATGCAGGTTTGAAGTCATCTAGAGTCACAGCTTTCAACTTCTACATGAATGCTGCTAATTTTCAGAAACAGAAAAATATGCACACTGAAACAGTTGATCCACAGACAGCATCAGCAGCATAATCCCTATGTTATTCCTGCATTGGTGCTAATTCAGAGACGATGTTGATGATCTAGGAGTGTCAGTTGGGAAGCACTTAAAGTTATGTTTTACATAAACCTTTATCTAAGCCCATTTCACACAATTGAGACTAAGGCACTTTCCTGAAAAGAGATATTTTTAATGTGAAAATTAATAAAAATTACATCAGACCTGAGCTTAGATGTCTCCTGTTTTTCTAGGTTTCAGGTGCTATGGGGAGCAAATACAGGAAACAGGGCATAGAGAAAAGCTTTTTCCTTGTTATTCCCAATTTTATTTTTCTCATGCTGAATTTTCCTCTTCCTTCCAGGTTTGACTAGAACCATTTAATTTTTAGTTTTTTTTGCAAACCTTCCCAGGCTGTCACCATCCCTCTAATAGTGTCTCCAGGTGTTTTGCACAGGTGGCTTTCTGCTTCCCCTGATGCTTCCCAGGCCTTCTCTCTCTGTCTGTCTCTCTGTCTCAGACAAAACTCTCCTGGTGGCTGCTTTTTTAGGCAGTTCAAGCAAATAGTTCTTTCTTCATGTTCTGTTTGAATTTTCTCCGGCACAAGAAGTGGCTACCTTGTCTTCTGTTTCCCCGTCTTTTTCTATTTCTCTATTTTTTTTCTAGTTCTTCCCATCTTGCTGACTGCTCTTTGAGTGCCACTTTCAGCAGCTCTGCTTTGTCTTCCCCCTCTTTTTCTCTTAATATTTCTAACCAATACTGTCATCTTCTCCTCTGCCTCTATGCATCCTTCTCCATGGTGCCATTCATCATGGCGTTCTTTGTCTCTTTGTCTCACCATCCTTCAGAAGAATCTCAGATCTCCTTTTCTGCCTCCCAGTTTGCTGTGTATTTCTGCTGTCTATCCTGCCTCCTCTCTCCTTTTTTTTTTTTGCTTGCAAGGTTTCTTTTTGTTTTGAAGACACGTAGCCCTTGTATGTATAAGGTGCCAGCAGCATCCCATCAGGTCCTGTGCTACACCCAAGGCTGGCAGTGGGAGACAGGGCTGTCATGCTGCAAAAGCACCCTTATGTCAGAGTGATATGCTTTTGCAGGATTAAAAACCTAGTCTAAATCAAAACAAGGATTGCTGGATTTTTAGGAAGTTATTAACAATGCTTAATTAGAAGGTAATTAGACAACACTATTTTTGGTGTCGGTAATACAGCACTTACCATTTACAAATCTCAGTAAATTCCTACAAGTTGCTGACACCACAGCACTCAGCTATGAACACACACAGTTACATACAGACTCCTCTACTGACCATGCACCTTCCTGCCCTGATGCATGCATCCATTGGGGAGGACACTCTCAAGGGAGATCCCAGGGCAGTGGGGTCTCTTGCAGCCCCCACAGCACCAGCCCAGCTGTGCAAGTTGCCCCCTACAACCTTCTCCTCTCATTATTTCATACACATAAACCAAAGTAATGCATTAGGGCTGTCGGGCACACAGGGAAAGGGAGCCAGGCACAAGTCCTCATGGACACCACAGGGCTAGACTGTGCCCTCTGCCACCCCCACAACATGGCAGAGTCAAAGTTCACTTTCTTCCGTGGTCACTGCTCTTGTCACAGTCTTAAAAGGTGCTTGGAGGTTTTTTCTGTGAGGATTAGGTGGTGGTGACTAGACATTATTGTACATTAAAATATTCCATGAAACAGCATTATGGTCCCAGAAAAACTTTTTCCTTGCTTTTTTTTGCTCCCTGTTTAGCAATGTAAGCATTGCTAAAAGTTTTGTTAGAGGCCCAGCAGGTAGCAGTGCCTATGGATAAGAGTGCCTTGTGATTTCCCTTAAAACCCCATCTTCAGTTGCTCCAAGACTGCCTGTATGTTAACCATTGAGACTAACATTTTCCATCCTGCACATCTGCCTCAAGCTATTCCTGTGTTTTCTCTTTTTTTTTTTTCTTCCTTTAAGAGGAAATTTTCAAGAAGAAAAACTATTCCACTCTTCCTGAGACTGAGCATAGAGGAAAAAAAAATGTAGCATTTTCTATGTTCAAAAGTTTTTTCAAGCTTTTTATTTTTTTCCTATGAAAAACTGTAGAACCTCATTGTTTCTAATGACGTGAACCTCATGCTTGGTTTGGACCACTGTTCTTTGCTTTCAGCAGATATCCATGAATATTACTGGCAAATCGTGTCCCTCTAGCAGAAAGTTTTGCCAAATACAATATCCTTGAAAATTGTTTTCTGTAGTTCAGAGGAGTTAATGCCTTAATTGAAGAGCCTTTTAGAAGCTCCTTCCTGATAATGGTGGACGAATGGCTGGTGCAACTTTGATATTTCTGGGATTTTGGAATTAAATTTATGGATTCTCATTCTTATGAGTTTTTATGTTTTAAGAGGGCACAATCACTTGCAAAATTCACCAGTCAGAACATTATAAATTTAAATTTGCCAACTCAACTTTGTCTGCTTCCCTTGTGCATAACCAGCTGTAATGACATGGTCTTGGACCTTTACTATTTTATACCTGTATATAGACCTGGCAAAAATACACAGGTTTTGTCTTTTCACAGTTTGCAAATGGCATATTCTTCACTGTGGATATACTAATAAGTAGTAAATGCAGTATCTTTCGCTGCAAATTTTTTGTGACTTCAAACAGGTAGTACCATTAGATTGCATTACCTACTGCCCTTATTGTTTTTTAAAGTGCAGCCTGTTATTTCTGCCTACTGTAAAGTTCATT